GTAGTAGTAGTAGTGGTGGTGGTGGTGGTGTTGGTGTTGGTGGTGGTAGTAGGAGTCGTAGTAGTAGTAGTAGGAGTAGTAGTCGTAGTAGTAGTAGTAGTAGTATTTGTAGTAGTAGTGGTAGAGATAGTAGTATAAGTAATAGTGCTTGTAGTAGTAGTCGTAATGTTAATCGTAGTAGTAGTAGCAGTAGTAGTAGTAGTAGTAGTAGTCGTCGTCGTCGTCGTCGTGGTAGTAGTAGTAGTAGTAGTAGTAGTAGTAGTAGTAGTAGTAGTATTCGTCGTAGTAGTAGTAGTAGTAGTAGTAGTAGTAGTAGTAGTCGTCCTTGTTGCAAGAGTAGTCGTACTAGTAGTAGTAGTAGTAGTAGTAGTAGTAGTAGTAGTAGTAGTAGGCGTAGTAGTAGTAGTAGTAGAAGAAGAAGTAGCAGTCGTAGAAATAGTAGTAGTAAACATCGTATTAATGATAGTAGTTGTCGTAATAGTAGTATTCGTATTCGTATTCGTACTCGTACTCGTATTCGTAGTAGTAGTAGTAGTAGTAGTAGTCGTAGTCGTAGTCGTAGTAGTAGTAGTAGTAGTAGTAGTAGTAGTAGTAGTAGTAGTAGTAGTAGTAGTAGTAGTAGTAGTAGTTGTAGTTGTAGTAGTAGTAGTTGTAGTAGTAGTAGTAGCCAGAGTATTTTTATTATTGTGTATATAATATATATATATATATTCTCGTAGTAGTAGTAATATCAGTAGTAGTAGTAGTAGTAGTAGTAGTAGTAGTAGCAGCAGTAGTAGTAGTAGTAGTGGTAAGAAAAGTCGTAGTAACTTTAGTCTTATGTTTAGGTAGTGTTGGTGGGATGAGGGGAATAATTAATATGAGCAGGAGTAGAATTGAAATGAGGATATGTTGGTCACGGACGGTTGCAGCCAGCGTGGCCATCTCGGTTGGTCATTGTCTCCCATAGTTCAGAGGGTACTCTGAAGATTGGGAGTTTTGTCGTTTGGTTGTTGTTTATCCTTGGCACATCCTTGTTATCTTTACACATGAACATTGACCAACCAACTTCTGTTTGGAATAGGGGCGTATTCAGAGTTGTTCAACCAGTCCCATGGCTTCAGTCGCTCCTGCATTCTGGGCGTGGATGCAGAGGGCGAGCCTTACCACCTTCGTCCATTCCCCTCCTCCCTCCACTCCTCCCTCTTCCCCATCCGTATCCTCTTCCTCTTCCTCCTCCTCCTCCCACTCCTTCTCCTCCCCCGTCATTTTCGTCTCCCGCCTCCTCGTCCTTCTCGTTCTCCGCCTCCTGCGCCCTTGAAAAACAAGGGCGAGCCATGTCACCGTGACATCGTGCGCCTGATGGGCGATGTCGAGGCAAACCCGGACGATTACCCTGGCCTGGAGCGGAATGCTAGCCTCAACTCGTTGCAGGCGTTCCTGTACAACCATGGCAGGTGCCCAGAGTCGTGCTCGATAAGCCGCTCCAGCGGAGGCACGCCGGCTCCTCTGAGGGAAGGTCCTGGCAGGGGCGAGGCCGCCAGAGGTACCGATCGCATGAGGGGGCGCGAGAAGGGGAGGCACGAACAGGACTGTGGTGGCCCTGCCCCTCGCCTCCTCCACGAGAACATGTCCATGTCCACTGCGTCGGAGTCCTGCCCTAGCCCCGAGGAGTGATGGACATGGATACCTGCCCGCCGCCGAGGGGGGGACAATGTCCACATGCACCGCCCCCCAGGGACCTTGGGCAAGACTCCGGAACTTACGGATGTGGACGCGTCCTGCCGGTCAACCAGCCCCTGCTGAGGGGCATGGGGCCCAAGAAGCAATCAAGCAGATGACGCAAAGGCCACAGAGAGATCAATGCCAGCCAGTTTTTGTTTTGTTTTGCCATTCCCGCTGCAATGTCTTCACGTCAGGTTGTTGCGTGGGGGCTCAATGTTCGAAGGTCGACCTGTCCGCCGCGCTGTCAAATAAGAAGCTGGTCTGTCAATAAGTCCCTTACCCCTCGATGATCCCGGGGGTCCACAGATGGTCTGGGGCACCTTAAGACTTTCACATGTGGACTGCTTATGTGACCCCAGCCAGTCTCAAGAGAAGATTTCGCACTGTATGTGTCTGCTGTAGCAGTCGAGGTGCAAGCTTGCGGGGGGCTGGGCTTGCGTCGCGCGTGGTGGAACAGAAGCTTTTTCTTTTGCCTCCAGGTGGCCTGTTAGATAGATTGGCTAGCCCCCTGCCCACAGGGGTGGGGCCACCTCCGGAGGAGCAGGAGGAGGATGAGGAAGAGGGGGACCGGGAGGAGTGCGAGCAGCTGGCTCCAGACTCCGTGTGCCTGGACAATGTCGAGTGGGTTCTCAAAGTCGGGCTCTTCACCCACCCGGAGTGGTACGATGGCCTCTCCAAGCAATCGACGTTCCAAGACGTCCAGGCAGTTCTGCAGCATGATCCTCGTTCCGGGTGCCCCACTCCCTGCGAGTGTCATACGGCCAGGCCTGGCGAGGCTTGCTATGACAGGGTGTCGTGGGTGCTCCAGACTGGTCTCGTTGAGCACCCAGAGTGGTACCTAGGTCTCACAAGAGCGTCTACGCGGAAGGAAGTCCAGGCGATGCTCCAGAAGCAGTTCAACGGCAGCCCCGCAAACAGCTGCCAGAAACCTTGCAACAGATGAGGTTCTGCACCACTGGTGCGACGGAGCTGCGACACCAGCAGCCTCGCACACATCACCGGTGGATCTAATTCCAGCGAAGCACCACATTGAGTTGACACATTCGACTGGTCCTCTCGGCACACGCTCCAGAGAGGCTAGGTGCTTTTTGAATGGGTTATCTGTCTGTTATGTCTTCTCACCGGCGAGCCATACCCACCTCTTTCTCTCTCTCTTTCTCTCTTTCTCTTTCGATCACCTTTCATCGCCCCTTTCCGCTCCTGTCCTCTTCGTCCCTCGTATCTCCTCAATTCTCTTGTCCTCTGTTCTCCTCCAGGTTGGTCAGCCTCTGACGCAGCGTCTTCATTTTTCGCCGTACCCAGCGGGCGCACCCGCTCTATGTGCAAAACCAGGTTCCTCGTCCATCCAACACTGGGCTTGCTGAGGTTAAAAGGGGCTACCTCCAAGCCTAGACATCCGAAGGCGCGCTTTTCTGCTTTGACATTGGCCCGATAGAGCCCTCGACCCCTTTCCCTTGGTCGAGCTTTCCTGGTAGGTCGTTTTTGGACGGTCCCAGGGTCGTCGCGAGTGCCTCATTAACAGGTGGGAGGCGCAGTCACGTGTTTTTTTCACGGCCTATCATTGCTAAGTTAGAACCATTGAGACCTGCAAGCGAACGTCCCCTGACAATTCTTGCTGCGGTGACGCATGCCGGAGAAGTTTGGATACCTTTCTCTTCTTTCCCTCCACATCGCTTGCGCCGACTAGGCTTATATCTCCCTGGAAGCAATTGCCGCCAGCTGCTTGGATTTTTCGCGGTTCGGCCCTCAACCCGATTGTCCCTGGGCCTGGGGCCGCCTTGCACTGCCGCCAATTTCCTTGCCTCGGCCGTGTCCCCCGACTGTCACTGGCCCGAGGACTGCCTTGCGCTGCAGTCAGTTTCCCAGGTTCGGCCCTAACCCCGCCCGTCCCTGGCGCCTGGTGCTGCCATGCGCTGCGGCCTGCTTTCTTGGTGTGTCCGCGGCCCCGGCGCTGCCCTGCGCTGCTGCCACTCCCCTTTGCTCGGTCCTGTCCGCGACCGTCCCTGCGGTGGCGCTGCCCTGTGCTTCCGCCACTCCGCCTGCCTCGGCCCTGCGCTAGATGGTGCTCCTCCTGGTGCTGCGCTGCAGTGCCGCCGCTCTCCCTGGTTCGGCCCCGCCCTGGCTGCACTGGCGCTGCCCTACGCTGCTGCCCGCTTCGTAGGCTCGACCCTGCCCTGTGCTTCATCCCTTGCCCTGGTGCTGCCCCGGCGCGCAGCGGAAACTTTCGTGGTTCGGCCCCTGTCCCCGACTGCCTCGGGCTCCTGGTGCTGCCTTGCGCTGCCGCTAGCTTCCAGATTCCTTGACTCGGCTGTCTGACCCTGCTACTGCCCTGCGCTGCCGCGGATCTCCCTGGTTTGGGCACGCTCGCGAATGTCCCCCGCCCTGGTACCAGTTTGCTGGTCTTGAACCTGTCCCTATCTGGGTCTGTCCCCGGTGCTGCCCTGCGGTGCCGCCAACCTCACTGGTTCGGCCTTGCACCCGACTGTCCCCAGCTCTGGCACTGCCCTGCGCTGCCATCTTCCTATTCTTCTTCTTTGTCCTCCTGCTCATCTCCGCTTCCTCCCCGCTCTTTCCCATCCCCTCCCCACGCCCCCCCACTCCACCGCCCTTAACCGAGCAAAGATGGCAGCGGGCGCCTCGCCTCTGGGGCGATCTCTGTCCTGCCATGCTCCCGCTACTGGACAGGGTGCTTCTCCCTCCCCTGCCCTCTTCCCCCCCGCCCTCCCAGCCACAGCGTCGGAGTGGCCAGGAAGGCGTCGATGTGGCGGGCGGCGGAGGGTGAGGGCCAGTGCCTCTGGTCCTCCTCTCGCTCTCGGCGAACGCCGGCTAGGGTGCTGCTCCCTCCCCTGCTCTCGGCCCCCCCGCCCTCCCAGCCACAGCGTCGGAGTGGCCCGGGCAGGCAGCGATGTGGCGGGCGGCGGAGGGTAAAGGGCCGGTGCCCCTGGTCCGCCTCTCTCGCTCTCGGCGAACGTCGGCTCGAGGCCCTCTTGCGCTGTCGTAGTCTGTTCTGAAGGGGACAATGATCATCCCCCCCCCCAAAGCAAAAAGAGGAAAAGGGGAAAAGCCAACAAAGTAGCTCATGACAGCCCAAGCAAGTGGACTTACAAGGCTTGTTTCTGGGACCTCGAGCTATGCCAGCGTGTAGTTCGACGTCCGCACGGCCCGAGGAGACGTTGGACGGACCACTTGTGCGACCTATCAGGGGCTCCGGCCCCGCCGCCGACCTCCTAGGAGGCGGTCCCCGCGCACGTGCGGACCGGCATCGGCGCTCGCCTCGCCCCCGCCCCCCTCTGGATACACGGGGTGGCGGGCGTTTGGCCCGTGCTGTTTGGAAGGGGTGGAGGGGGTTGGAGGAGGAGGGCGGGGGGGAGGAGGGGGAGGAGGAAGGGAGGGAAGGGGGGGGCTGATGGGCAAGCTCCGTTGGAGGGCCAAGCACCCCCACCCTTGTTAGATACCCCGTCCAGAGAGTAACCGGCCCTCCGCGCCCTCGCCCTCGCCGCCTCCGCGCCAGCGCCACCGACGACCCATGACCGACGACCGACAACCGGCGACAACGACGACGACGCCGACGCCGACGCCGACGACGACGACGAAGACGACGACGCCGCCGACGTCGAAGACGACGACGATGACGACGCCGCCGACGACGACGACGACGAACACGACGAAGACGACGACCACGAAGACGACGTGGACGACGCCGTCGACGACGAACAGGCTGATGTCGCCGACGACGACGTCGTCGACGACGACGAAGGCGACGACGCGGACGACGACGACTTGGACGAGGACGACGGCGACGAAGACGACGACGAGGACGATGACGACCCTGAAGACGACGCCGACGTCGACGACGCCGACGCCGACGCCGACGACGACGACGAAGACGACGACGCCGCCGACGTCGAAGACGACGACGATGACGACGCCGCCGACGACGACGACGACGAACACGACGAAGACGACGACCACGAAGACGACGTGGACGACGCCGTCGACGACGAACAGGCTGATGTCGCCGACGACGACGTCGTCGTCGACGACGACGAAGGCGACGACGCGGACGACGACGACTTGGACGAGGACGACGGCGACGAAGACGACGACGAGGACGATGACGACCCTGAAGACGACGCCGACGTCGACGACGCCGACGCCGACGCCGACGACGACGACGAAGACGACGACGCCGCCGACGTCGAAGACGACGACGATGACGACGCCGCCGAAGACGACGACGACGAACACGACGAAGACGACGACCACGAAGACGACGTGGACGACGCCGTCGACGACGAACAGGCTGATGTCGCCGACGACGACGTCGTCGACGACGACGAAGGCGACGACGCGGACGACGACGACTTGGACGAGGACGACGGCGACGAAGACGACGACGAGGACGATGACGACCCTGAAGACGACGCCGACGTCGACGACGCCGACGCCGACGCCGACGACGACGACGAAGACGACGACGCCGCCGACGTCGAAGACGACGACGATGACGACGCCGCCGACGACGACGACGAAACACGACGAAGACGACGACCACGACGACGACGTGGACGACGCCGTCGACGACGACAGGATGAGGCGCCGACGACGACGTCGTCGTCGACGACGACGAAGACGACCGACGCGGACGACGACGACTTGGAACGAGACGACGGCGACGAAGACGACGACGAGGACGATGACGACCCTGAAGACGACGCCGACGTCGACGACGCCGACGCCGACGCCGACGACGACGACGAAGACGACGACGCCGCCGACGTCGAAGACGACGACGATGACGACGCCGCCGACGACGACGACGACGAAAACGACGAAGACGACGACCACGAAGACGACGTGGACGACGCCTTCGACGACGAACAGGCTGATGTCGCCGACGACGACGTCGTCGTCGACGACGACGAAGGCGACGACGCGGACGACGACGACTTGGACGAGGACGACGGCGACGAAGACGACGACGAGGACGATGACGACCCTGAAGACGACGCCGACGTCGACGACGCCGACGCCGACGCCGACGACGACGACGAAGACGACGACGCCGCGACGCGAAGACGACGACGATGACGACGCCGCCGAAACGACGACGCGAAAACGACGAAGACGCGACCACGACGACGACGTGGACGACGCCTTCGACGACGACAGGCTGATGTCCCGACGACGACGTCGGCGTCGACACGACGAGGCGACGACGCGTACGACGACGACTTGGACGAGAACGACGGCGACGAGACGACGACGAATGACGACCCTGACGACCACGCCGACGTCGACGACGCCGACGCCGACGCCGACGACGACGAGACGACGCGCGCCGACGTCGAAGACGATGACGACGCCGCCGACGAGACGAACACGACGAAGACGACGACCACGAAGAAACGACGTGGACGGCCGTCGACGACGAACAGGCTGATGTCGCCGACGACGACGTCGTCGTCGACGACGACGAAGGCGACGACGCGGACGACGACGACTTGGACGAGGACGACGGCGACGAAGACGACGACGAGGACGATGACGACCCTGAAGACGACGCCGACGTCGACGACGCCGACGCCGACACCGACGACGACGACGAAGACGACGACGCCGCCGACGTCGAAGACGACGACGATGACGACGCCGCCGACGACGACGACGACGAACACGACGAAGACGACGACCACGAAGACGACGTGGACGACGCCGTCGACGACGAACAGGCTGATGTCGCCGACGACGACGTCGTCGTCGACGACGACGAAGGCGACGACGCGGACGACGACGACTTGGACGAGGACGACGGCGACGAAGACGACGACGAGGACGATGACGACCTTGAAGACGACGCCGACGTCGACGACGCCGACGACGACGACGAAGACGACGACGCCGCCGACGTCGAAGACGACGACGATGACGACGCCGCCGAAGACGACGACGACGAACACGACGAAGACGACGACCACGAAGACGACGTGGACGACGCCGTCGACGACGAACAGGCTGATGTCGCCGACGACGACGTCGTCGACGACGACGAAGGCGACGACGCGGACGACGACGACTTGGACGAGGACGACGGCGACGAAGACGACGACGAGGACGATGACGACCCTGAAGACGACGCCGACGTCGACGACGCCGACGCCGACGCCGACGACGACGACGAAGACGACGACGCCGCCGACGTCGAAGACGACGACGATGACGACGCCGCCGACGACGACGACGACGAACACGACGAAGACGACGACCACGAAGACGACGTGGACGACGCCGTCGACGACGAACAGGCTGATGTCGCCGACGGCGACGTCGTCGTCGACGACGACGAAGGCGACGACGCGGACGACGACGACTTGGACGAGGACGACGGCGACGAAGACGACGACGAGGGCGATGACGACCCTGAAGACGACGCCGACGTCGACGACGCCGACGCCGACGCCGACGACGACGACGAAGACGACGACGCCGCCGACGTCGAAAACGACGACGATGACGACGCCGCCGACGACGACGACGACGAACACGACGAAGACGACGACGACGACGGACGACGCCGTCGACGACGAACAGGCTGATGTCGCCGACGACGACGACGTCGTCGTCGACGACGACGAAGGCGACGACGCGGACGACGACGACGACTTGGACGAGGACGACGGCGACGAAGACGACGACGAGGACGATGACGACCCTGAAGACGACGCCGACGTCGACGACGCTGACGTCGACGACGCTGACGAAGGCGACGGCGACGCCGACGACGCTGACGTCGACGTCGCCGTCGACGACGACGACGCCCGCGTCGACGACGACTTGGACGAGGACGACGGCGACGAAGACGGCGTGGACG